TTCCCTCTCTCTGTCTTTAAGTGAGTACACTTTCCTCTGGCAATTCAAAGAAAAAGAAAAGAGAGTAATGTAAGACATCAGCCATTGTTCCTTCCATATAGTTTTTGCTCTAAGTTTTTGCCAGAGGATGTGTACAGTGGCAGGAGACACAGAAAGAAAGAGAGGGAAAGTGAGAAAGCATCACCAAGGGGGATTGGCCATACTGCAGTCTCTTCTCCATTTCTCCTTTCAAGATTTTGAGCATGTACACACACGTGGCCAGCATGCTTCTCAAGCTGCCAGGTCTGGGACTCAAACCGCACAGCCAGCCATGTGGGATCCAACCCCTTCAACCACCAAGCATGGGCTGGCCCCTTTTGTGTGTTTTTTAAAGTATAATATTTTATGTTTTCTATTTTGGCCTTTTGTTTCAGATTTAGAACTTCTGTTAACAAGGGAATTAGATATTTCAAAGTAGTGTAAACTCACATATAAGGGGGCCGGCAGAGGGGGCATGGTGGTTAAGGGCACTGGACTCCCACATGGCTGATCATGGTTCAAGTCACGGACCTGACATCTGTCTTTCTCACTTTTTCTCTCTCTTCAAATTTAAGTAAGTAAGTAAATAAATAAATAAAGTTAAATAAAAATAATTCTTAAAAACAACCCAAAAACTCAGGTATTACAAAAAATCATGAATGTCACTCGTTAAGTCATGATAAACTAACGATGGTTTGGTTTTTCCATGTTACCATTTAATGATATTTACATGCATCTTTTTCACCTCCCTAAGGGAAAGCTTTAGGCAAATCCACAGTGGTACCCGTTCCATATGAGAAGATGCTTCGAGACCAGTCAGCTGTGGTAGTGCAGGGGCTTCCTGAAGGAGTTGCCTTTAAACACCCTGAGAATTATGATCTTGCAACCTTGAAATGGATTTTGGAGAACAAAGCAGGGATTTCATTTATCATTAAGAGGTAAAATGCTTTTTTCCTTTTTTGCCCATCAATAGATTATTCATGTAAAGTTGAATATTCAACATATTTATATATTTATTTATTTATTTATTTATTTTATTTATTATTTTTTTTG